TGCTTTGGGGAAACGCACACGCAATTATTCGCAACAGATGCCCTTTGCCCACCCTTGATTTAATCATTAATCGGCTACATCTCTAAATGCATGAATTTCATTTCAGCACTTCCTCCGAAGTTTCAAGAATTTCATTATTGTAAACTAAATGACTGTATTAGTAAACGCAATCTCTTGAAGGTGTAAAAAAACAAAACAAATGATGCAGCCAACATAACATCAACCCACCTGCCAGAGAAAGCCCCAGTCTGAACGTTTGCTCCAGCAGAACTCAATGGATTGCTAAATTGTTCTGAAAATAAATCATGTTTGAACCCGCCAAAATTAATACCATTTGAATTGCCTGATAAGCTGAATATATCTATTTCAGATCTCTGCGGAGAAGATGCCAGATTTACAGTTTGTTTGCAAACATAACTGGAAGGATCTTGTGCAGTGGCTGAGCTAGTAAAGCCATTCCAATCATCAAAGGAATCGGCAACTTCTTCGGTAGTCACAGCGTCAGTTGTCTTGCTATAACTCCCTTGCCACAAGTCATCTGCCGTCCAGTCAAAATTATTATCGCTCTCCACAACTTTTCCATCATTAAGATCAGTAGTAATTTCAGATCTCTCAGTCTGGCTAGCTACCACTGAGTTGGGAAAACTGCTGGAAAGGTCTTGTGTGGCCAGCAGAGCCTATAAAGTCATCCCAAGCATTAATTGAATCAGTAACTTCATCAGTAGGGACAGTGTTTGCGGTCTTGTCATTGCTTCCTGGCCAAAGGTCATCTGCACCAATCAAATTCTTGTAGATGAACTATGATTACCCTCTGCTGTTTTTGCATCATTAAGATCAGCAGTCACTTTAGCGTCCCAAGTCTGGCTAGTTATCTTTGAGTTTGAAACACTACTGGAGGGATCTTGAGTGATGGCCGAGCCAGTAAAGTCATCCCAAGCATCCAATGAATCAGCAGCTTCGTTAGTAATCACATTATCAGTTGTCTTGTTTGGCTTTCTTGCCCTTGGTCATCTTGCATCCAGTCTAAATTTCCAGTAGAACTGCGAGCACTCTCTGCCATTTTTGCATAATTTAGATCAAACGTTACTTCAGGTTTCCCAGTCTGACTGGTTAGCTCGGAAGTTCTTTGTATACCACCCTGAAACCAATCATTTTCCATAGATGCTGAAGGGTTCAAGCTGTCATTCTTCTTTACACTCAGAGAAGCATTCCCATATCCAAATACCTCATCCAGATCACATTAGAATGATCAAATGATCTGGCCTCTTTATCAACTGCCTCAGAACCTGCAGACTGGAAGTCTGCCTCCCAACCAGAAAAGGAATTGCCACTCTGACCTTCTGAAGGCCCCGTGGTTGTTTCTGGAGTCAGGTCATTCTGAAACAAACTAAGATTTTCATTAGTTTGGAGAGGCTTATCTTCAGCGCTATCCACTAGCTTTTTCGAAGCCAACTGATCTTCAAATGCATCAGAAGCAAATTTCCTCTGAGCAAACCTATCAAGGTCAACTGCAGCCAAATTTAATGAACCTTTGCTCTGGAATGCTGCCTCATCTGAGTTACCGGTTTGAGGTCCATCTGACTCAGAAGGCCGTATAATTTCCAAATCTAACAGTTCAGATAAGGGAATCTCTTCTTTTGATGCACTCCTCTCTCTGTTTGAGTCATTTCCTTTATTAACTGGTTCCACCATCTCCTGCAACAAAACGTATCAAGTAAACGTAGCAGTTTTTATAATCAAGCAATCAAATTAAAAAGCAGGACAATACCTACAGATGTTAAAATGGTAGTTCTCTCACTAAAGAAGGAAACATTTATCATATATCAAAATTCCAACCATCACCAGCATTAACGAAAGAAGTTAACAATAGTTTGGACAGCAGAATTGAATTCAGAATAAAGCTTACCAAATAAGAAAACAAGGGGGAAAATCATGCTAGAAAAATATATATATATATATATATAAATTGAGCTTACCGATCCATCTAGTTGAAGGGAGTCTAGTAAGAAGCGATATCCAACAGTGTCTTTGAACTTCACAGGGTCAGGAGGCAAATCCTTACGGGGATTTGTGCCACAAAAACGCAGATAGCTGACTGCACCCCGCGGAGGAGTTTGCCCTTGCAGTGCTTGCAGCGAAGGTAGGGAGGCGAGGGATCGAGCCCTGCTATTGTCTCTGCAACTGAAGGTAGCTTAGGAAGCGTAAAAGGGTCCTCTTTCTCGGGTTCGTACCAAGATAGATTGACCTCTTTACGGAGCAACAATTTTAACTCTTTTATCTGATCTAGTGGAATCTCAAACGCCATTGTCCAGGATTGGATTTCGATTTTGCTCTCGTTCGTTCTCTCTCACACTAAGGAACAAGCAATTAGATTCACTTGTCAGCATATCACCGCAGAACCCAGAGGAAAATCCATGAAACTATCTCAAACGACACCGGCCAGATCAAAGGGAAAGGCAGTCTGCAAACGGCAAGAAAGATCGCTGCGTTTTCGCTTGGGAAAACATTGATTCGCACACAAATTCATATATAATCTTAGCTTTGATTTTAAAATTTTTAAAAGTAATTATTGAAAATTTTTAATTAATATAATCAACAAATATGTAATATAACATCTATAGAAATTTTTAATATTTAAATATAACTCGTTTCAATTTGTGTTGTAAAAATCATATTTCAAATTTTATGCAATACATGTGAGACATGGAGTGCATTTAGTTTATATTTTGTCTTTTTCATTTGATAAATATATTTTAAATTCACTTCATTTTATTCTTTTTAATTAAAAAAATTTCCTATCCTCTCAATCTCAGGAGTAAGACTCCTTTTTTTTCTGTTATTTTTTATTTTGCTAACTTTTTGGTCTGTACTTGCTTTTATATAAAAAGGTAATAAAAATTTCTAATAATTCACTTTATGAATAGGATAGCTTCTTTAAACATTTTGTGGCTGGGTGTTGTGTCGTAACATTCTACTGCTCATAACACTACCAACAAAATTTGGGTGCTGATATTATGTATGGATGCTTAAAACATAAACGTATCTGCATCTAATACATATTTGATATAATATTTATAGGATATTTTAACATATCTATTACATATTCTAACATTTGTATTATAATCTTTTTGTATTACTTAAAAACTTAAAAAAAAAAACGTACTATTTTGATTGATTAATACAAATATCCTCATGTTATCTTAGAATTCTTATTTAAAAATTAAATTATTTACACCTATATTATAAAATGTTGAAATATATCTAATAAATATTTCCATACCAATATTCTAAAATTTTAAAAATTATCACATTCATCATATTAAGTTATATCTTATCCTACACATGTACACATATCAAAGCTTTTTATGATGATAGAAAAAGATTTCTCTACAGGCAACTATAATATATTGTCCAAGTGTAGTGAAAGTCTTGAAGTAGGAGGGATGAAATTATGAAATATCTTTCTTATGTTAACATGAACCTACTCTAATAATTTGTTACCTCACAATTTATCATGCTGCAGCAAACTTTAAACTTGAATAATATATATAGTTTCTTTTAATGAAAAACATGAATAAAATATTTAATTCCTCCACCACTTGTTAAGGCTGCTAAAATTTTTCATTTGCCTATACGCCACAACTATAATATCTCTCTTACTAAATATAATTAACATTTCAAATCTAAGATAATCAAAGAAATGACCCAAATAAGATTATCAAGTTTGTATTTGATAGAAATGGGATCATAAGTTTTCATAATTTAAAATAAGTCAAAATCATCTAGTAAACTTTTAATCAAAGTAGAATAATGTTTCGAAAGTATGAGATACCTCAAAGAAGTAAAATGATACAAAAATAGTTGAAAAACATCAAGTTTTAAAAAATAGAGCCGTGCACTGTGGCATGTGCACATGTGCTGCGATGGCTTCTTCTCTATGCTACTTGCTACAACGAGTTGCAATTATCAGACAACATCTTTGTTGTCATTTGATAGTAAATCTGAGCAACTTTTAATGTGCCTCATTTCTCCATCTGACGTTCGAATGAGATAATTCAGGCATTTACAAAAAGCTCTTTTCACAAACTAGCTAATAACATGAGTTTTACTTTCAAATTAAGTCATAAAAGGAAGTTAGATACCAAAACATATTTTTAACTATTCTCGCAAATTTTACATCTCAAAGGTGTCCAAAATCAAATGCCATTCCTAACACTCAAACCATACTCAATAGATTTAAGACTATTTGTATAACACCACATGCACATATACATCACAAGTTTTCACTCCTCAACCTACCAAAAATAGAATGGGTTTTTTTATTTTTTACCATTGCAACTTTACCATTAACGTTCACACTTGAAATCAAATCAATAACCCTATACTTGCATTAGTATTTTAACCCTATAAAACACTTGAACAACTTGCAAATAACAACCCAATGCCCAAAATACATTCCTAAAAATTATCAACATCAAAAGTGTAAGTATATGCAAAATGTAACCTAATTGGCAATAAACTTGTTCATTACATAGTATAAATGAAGTAAGAAAGCATTACGATAGAAATACTCAAATTCCTAAACCTCTGGAGCCTTTTTTCTTTCTACACTAGAGTTAGAGCCTGTAAAATATTAAAATAAAGGAGTGAATCTAGCCACTCAATAACTAAGGTGCATCTACCATATGCAATTATATATTAATTGAAATAAACACACATAAATATGAGTTGGTTATTTAAAGGCATCAATTACATATGATATAAGTTATATTTTCATAATCGATATATATAATCATCTTCCTTATCTCAACTATATTAGTGCATTGCCACAAGACACACAAACATGTGCCAATGACTTAACTCGTCATCTCAATATACTTTGCCACTATAATGGCACAATCTTTATCACGACTTCCCACAAACTTAACAACTATGCGACACGTTGGATAATATCAAATAGAGCTCAGTTCGTGTAACTAAACTACCCAAGCTCATAAAATTATAAAGTGTAACCTGACCAAATATCACAACACTCGCTCTCAGACACGGCTTCCCTCACTCTCGAATCTCTAGGGTGTTGTATAACCTCCTTAACAAACTAGTGGAGATAGTTAAGTTTTAATCTCTCGACAAACTATAGGGCAATCCCTTAATAAATAGTGGGACAAGACTATGCCTTTATGCACCAAAAGACAGCCATATATACCATATAGATTTTATCTATTCCTTTCCCTAAGCAAACTCTTGCCACTGATCATGTTATATACAATGCTCACTCATTTCACAATTTCATTATTTCAATGCAACATGTCGGGTTTATGATAATACGCTACCTAAGTGAGCATCAATATTATTTTCATAACCTTATCCACTTCTACTCTCAATTTTACACCCAATTCAAAATCTCATTTAACCTCACATGTCATAACCACATATTAATACTACCATATCATCATCATATCATGTATCTTGCATTATAAATTTCTCATTTCAATGCAATATTATAGTTTGAGATTCATTTCAAATTCACCTTTGTATTTCAGTTCAAACCAAAGCATATACACGATCACATACTTCATAACATGTTTACACATTCACAATCACAAATGTACATGCAAATAAACATATTTCACCTTATAATACAATTAAGATAGGGTTTCTCTAGTTACCTCAAACCTTTGAGAGATCAAAGGTTTATTCTTCAATATATGCTTCCAAGCTTGCCTTTCTAAGCTAAATACAGTGCCTAGATGATTAATCTACAATTAATCAAATCTAAATTCATTAACATTGTTAAAAGCATGCTTCGACTCTAATCCTCCAATTTTCAAAACACTCAAATTCTCATTTCTCACCATTGAGCTTACCCATTAAGTATTTTAACTCCTATCACTTCTAACTAACAATCATTTCACTTATATAGGGTCATTAATGTCACAACAACCCTCCTACTTCACATTTATCACCTATTTTTTAGCATTAATCAAGCCCACCCATTAAAAACATATAAACTCTCAAATCTCTTGTTTAAATATCTTAAACAACTCTTATTAACTCTATTTAAGTCAATGAATTCAAACCCTTAGCCTATATAAATTAAAAATCAATTCCCATTATCAAACCCTAATAAAAGCTTTAAGAAAATTGGTTGAGAAGGAAGAAGAATAAGTTAGGGGACTCATCTTAGGGTTTAATGGGTTCAAAAAGCTCCAATCTTATTCTAAAAACAAACCCTATCAAAGCTATATGTTTCTTCTCGTGCTCGTTTTTCTTTCTCTTTTGATTTTCACATCAATTCTTGTCTAAAATCTATAGAAAATGAGCCATATGTCACAATGTGTGGCACAGAAAGGTTCTCCCTCTCTGCTTCAGTCCAATGCACCGTGGTAGATCATGCACATATCACAACTTATGGTCCAGAACCACACACCTTCACGTTCTCTCCCTTTTTGGCCTACATGGCTCACATTCAACCTCAAACCGACATTCTAAGGTTATTATCAAGCCTAAACTGTTCCTTAATCCTCTATAACCACTCTATTCACTATTCTTACTTAATTAAACTTGATTAATCCCTTAACAACCTATGGATTAAAATTTAGGATGTTACAACAACTATACTGTAACATTACACTAAGGTTTTTCTTGGTGTTTTTTTATTTAACATTTAAGTTATTTGCACTATTATGCAGATTATGTGAAACACAACATAAAGAGGAGTAGAGATACTAAAAATTTTACAGAGCTATTGTGAAATGAACTAAAGCAATGAGAAGCAAAAAGCTTAAAATATTGTCAACACGTTAATGTAGCTCTGCATGAGGCCAAGAACTAAGGTTATGTCTCAATATCAAAAGGAAGCAGTCAAGTGTAATTCAGGGATGGAGTCATAAAGATATTAGAAGAAGCTAAAGAGAAAGCAAAACTGCTTTAATAGTACCCAAAAAAAATCACTACATTGTGGGAACTGAGAGCCCACAAAAAATGATGGAAAAAAAGGGTTAACAAGTCTCATACGGTTATACCCAATCTCAAGAATTCACACAAGCTGCTTACAAATATGCCATAGTCTCAAGAATATTCCTTGTATGTTATTTTTTCACTTTTCAGCTAATGATTTGAGATGCTAGCAATCTCAAGAAGCAAGATATTTATAAAAGGAAATATGTTGGCTACCCCTATTCAAAGGTGGAAAAAGTATGCCAACATGTAAACTTCATTCACTGTAA